GATCTATTCTTATGTCAAGGAACTCTGTTATCTCTTTCCCACCAGTTCTCTATTAAGGAAGTCTGGTCTGTTAGTTCACCCCTTTGAGGAAGTCTGGTTTCCCATCTACGTACCATTAATTAACCTTGAAGGTGAACACGATCAGTCAGCAACAAGATAGAAGGAGAGATAGTTGCTAGCCCCACACACCCAATCTCCAGCTAATTATAATGTTTGTTTGTGTGTTTCATTTATGATGCTCCAGGCATTGTTACCGATCATATTGTTTTCTCCAACTGTAATGCTACCTTGTACTGTTGCCACTCCTCCTTTTGGAAGCCGAGCTCAGGTTCCTAGCTATTGAAGAAGAAGCTGAGACCCTATTTATTGGCAAATTCATGCTTTCCTGATAAATTGATTGTGCCCAATTTACCTTAATTTCAATCATAACATTATTTTGTAGTAGTTAATCAGTCAGTCAACAAATATATATTAAGTGCTTAGTGCCAGGCATTGTGTTAAGCTCTGGAGATACAAAAGGAGGCAAAAAAAAATTGTCCTTGCCCACAAAGAACATATATTTTGTACGTTTACTTTATGTGTATACATGTTTTCCCATGTAGAATATAAATTCTTTGAAAACAGAGACTCATTTTTTTCTGTCTCTATTGTCTTGTACAGTACAGCTTTCTTTCTTTTTTTTTTTTAACCATGACCTATTATTCCATGGGTGTTTCCTACTAAAGCATATCAACACCTTCTGTGAAATTTACAGATTGTTGCTTAGACTAGAGAGGGCTTAAATGACTTGCCCAATATGTGTCAGAAGCTGGACTTGTCTTCTTGTCTCAAGTCTAGTTCTCTCTCTCTCTCTCTCTTCTCTCTCTCTCTCTCTCTCTCTCTCTCTCTCTCTCTCTCTCTCTTTCTCCTTCCTCCCTCTCTCTCCTTCACTATAATGTGTTAAAGGCCTAAAAAACTTTGCTCTATCCTATCTAACCTCATTGAACACTGTTACCTTTCCCTAACCTTGTTATCCAGCCAAATTACCTTTTGTACTTTTCAATGGCCCATTCTCCAAGCTTGGGATGCTCTCTCTCCTCACCTCCACCTCACAGAGTCCCTTCTCAGTCCTTAACACAAAGCTCATGTGCCATTTGCTTCATTGAGCTTTTTCTCATCTCTCCAACTGCTAGGGTCCTTTCCCCATTTATATTGTATTTACCTTTGTATTTATACTCTCTATTTTTATGTGTACTTATTTTTTTCTCCCATTAGAATGTAAGCTCCTTTTGAACTGGAATTTTTTTTAAACATATATCTTCCAGTGACTACTGTTGTGCGTGGCATAGAGCAGCACTTAATAAATGTTTGTTAAATTAACTGAAATTTAACTTGATCAAGCTGATTCTTGTACTTACAAGGTTTTTTTTTTTTTTCAGTTTAATAACAGTGCCAGAGTTCACACTCTACTGATATAGCCTTTAGGAACTCAGGGAACCCTCCATACCACATTGAGACACTGGAGGGAGACTTCAGCAGAGGATCATTATGTTTAATTAGTTTTATTTTTTAAGTAAAAAAAAAAAAGATTTGCTAGGAAATTTAGAGTCATAGAAGATGAAAGTTGGAAGGAACCTCAATGGTCATTAGGACCAACTTATATACAAAAGGAATCCCCTTATCCCACAAGTGGTTCTCTAGCTTCTGCCTAAAGATCTCCAAGCAGGAAAAACCGACCATTTTTGAAAACATCTCATTCCATATTGGGCCTTGTATAGCCCGCATGGTCCCTGATGACTATACAGTGATATACTAATTGTAGGCAAAGGGCCCAAGTGGAAATCAGTGGCTTCTGAATTGTTGAGATTGCAAATTTGAATATGTAAAGCAAAACCAATATCAACCTTTCTGTGGAACCACTTCTAAAGTCAGGAACTCCATTGCTTTTGGTCCAAATACTTTTGTTTTAGAATTGTCTGTAATCAGATCCTAACATATTCATAGCAGCCTTTTCTTGTGGTGGTAAAATAAAACTCGAAACAAAACAAGTGTCCTTCAATTGGAGTGTGGTTGAAAATATTGTGATAGGTGAATGCGATAGGGGAATAATAAGAATTGTAATTGGGAGGAATATTATAGAAGATCTAGTTCCAACACTCTCATTATAAAAAATGAGGAAAGTGAGCGCCACAGAAGTTAAGTGACCTATGTATCATTATGTATGTAGTGATTTGAAGAGGCAAGATTAAAATTCAGGTGGGAGGACCAGAAGATGTAAAGTTGTGGTGACCTCAGAAGCCATTTTACAGATGAGGAATAGATGCCTATGGAGGTTAAGTGAGCTGATCAAAGTTACAAATGTGATAACCAGCAGAGTCATGACGTGAATCTAGGCCTCCTGACTCCTCAGAGAGTGTGTTTTCCTCTTTACTACTTTATCTCAGATCTTCTCGTTCTCCATTTGATACCCTTCACACTTTATAAAGATGAATCTATGGCATTAGTATGGTATCAAGTCAAGACAAAAGAATAGTCATTTATTAAACATCTGCTGTGTGACAGGCACTGTTTTAAGCACTGGGGATATGAAAAAAGGCCAAAGATGCAATATTATCACTTTAAGAAAACTGATGAATACAAAGAATTTAGGGAAACATGCTAGGAATTACTTTAACTGATCCAGAGAGAAATGAAAGCCAAAGAGCAATGCTCAATGTGTCTATAATAATGGAGATTAAAAAAAAGAAGAACAAAAGCAAAGCATTGAATAATTGTACTAACCAATTCGGACTATAGAAAAGAGATGAAAAAGTATCTTTCCTCTTTGTTTTCCCAGTAGAGAAGTGGGGGACTATGGGTATGTAATAGTCAAATGAGATCAACCCATTGGTTAGTTTTGTTTAACTGTTTTTCTTTGCCAAAGTAGGAGATTCATCTTGTTATGGAGTTTATCTGGAAATGACTTCAGTATGAAAAACTAATGTATTGATATCATGTATTAAAAAAACAATACAGATTGCCTGGGTGCCAAGGGAAAGGATAACTGGGGTTCATAGTCTTGAATAATCAGATTCCCCTTATCCACATTCCAGCTTTGGCTTGTAATGAGATGTTGCCAAAGAACTATGAGTCAGGAATTTGTTCTGATAAAACAACAAGAACAACAAAACAACCTGCTAATTCGAGTTGCTAAGAAGGATGGCAATTTAAAGTCTCACTTCTGAGATCTGATAAAAAAAAAAAGCAAAAACAAAAAAACAAAAACAAAAAATATCTCACCACGCATCTCAGATGCTGTTACTGAAAAGAGGACATTTACAACCTTGTTATAACTGAATTTGAAATGTAACTCCCCAGAAATATATTATTCCATTAGGCACAATTGATAATATGTAAACTGACTTCATTTCTTGCAGGGATAATAAGCAAAATGAAGTGAGAGTCAGGGGTAGGATTTGGGCAGCTACCCTGGTTAGGTATGGATAAATCATTGGGGTCTCTGATGAACCACTGTCAAACTGAAGTTTAGATATACAAAGAGATTGACAAAGCTTTGGAAAACAATTTTCTTTTAAAGGAAAGATAATGTCTCTGGTAAAGTTGCTTAAAGCTTTTTATCTCTTGTAAATTTTTAAAACTTTTTTTTTGTTTCCTTTTAAATTGTTAGAGAATTGTGAGTTTTTCTGGCTCCCTTTCCTCCCTTCCCACTCCCCAAAACATAAACTCTTCCTCAAAACTGGAAATCAGTTTTTACAGTTTTACAGTGGGAGAGGGATTTTTTTTTAACTGTACCTATTGCCTGTTACAGACATAAGGAACATTGCCCTTCTGTCCTCAAGCTATTTTCAACTTATTATCATGTTCAATATACCCAGTGCCTGGCAGGATGGAGATTAGAGGTTCTTAATATTCATTTCATAGAGAAACATCTCATTCAATTTTGGAATAGGTGCTGAAATATGGAGGTGTGATGGATCGACCTAAAATCTTTGAACTCTGTGGTGATTCACCTGAAATCACTTTTTGATCTGTGTTTGATTTGTCATAGTGATCTCATCGTTTCTCTTTCTTCCTGAGAAAAAAGCCCCCGAATCTCACCATAGGGAGTGGAAACCTCCCTTGGTTTTAGCATTGGCTGCCTCACAGTTTTATTCTGACAACCAGTGGAAGAATGAAAAACAAAACATAACAAAACAAAACTCAAGTCATCTGAGGGTCCAGCCTGAGTGTGTTTGGAGCACCTAGAAGAGATACTGAATACTTTGCATTTAAATGTTGAGAACATACAGGTGTGGGTCAAGTCACATTGCATTAATTCAGCAAATAATTATCGTACACTTATTATGTGCTTGGCATTGTGATAAATTCTTGAGCTATAAAAGAAGTGAAATAGACAATGCTCATTTTCAAGAACATATATTTGAATAGGGGAGGAGACATGGAAACAAATTGGGAGATACAAGATATATATAGAGAAGGTGGAAAGCATTCTGAAAGCTGAAAACATCAACACCTAGGGAGGCCCTAGGGAAGGCCTCCCAGACATGATGGAATTTGTACTGAGTCTTGAAGGAAGTCAGGTGAACTAAAGGGTGGAAGTGATGGACAGAGCATTCTAAGAATGAAGGGTAGCTAGCACAAGGTGTATGAAGACTGGAAAGGCAGAAGGCATCGGATTATAAAGAACTTTAAATGACAAACAATGGTTATGTTTGATACTGAAGGTACACGGGAAGCCATTGTGCTTCTTTGTGTGTCTTTGGCTGTTGGAGCGTGTGGCATAGTAATACCGTATGCTCTGGCAGCTGAAAGGAGGAAAGATATGAAGAGGGGGAGAGAATGGGATGAGAGAGATGATTTTCATCCTTTCATCTGTGGATCTATGATCTCATAACCATAAATAGAAAGCAATCTTTGATACTGGATAGATTCTGCTACTCTATTTCTCCCTCATTTTTTACACCTTGACTGCTTTACTATTTTGTTTTCTAAACTGGAAATTATTTCTGTTTTTTTAATAGACTGGAAGGAAAGAAAAAGGAGATCCTCTAAACATTGCTATTGATAAGATGACCAAGAAAACGAGAGATCTAAGGAGACAGGTACTGTTCATTCCCTCAAGTGCATGGCAATTCCTGGTGATGCTGGGAATGTCCTTCTCTGGGGCAGCCAATACTAGTGGCCTGGTATTTGGCTATTCCCAGTACTGGCTGCACAGAAGTAGAATGACATCCCTAGATGCTTATTGATACCCAAACTGCTAGTTGGGAGGAAAAGAGGCACTGTGATGATCCTTGCTTTTTGAGACTCCTGAGAGTTGGTCACCAAGGAGAAGGGATTATCCTTGGGCCTGGCCTTTGGTGATGTTTATTTATTCATCTATCTCTCTATCTATCTATCTCTCTATCTATGTATCTATGTATCTATCATATATCCATTTATCTATTTCATTCTTCATCTATTTATTAGTCTATCTATTCATTCATTTATCTATCTCTTTATATATTTGTTTATTTTATTCATTTATTTTTTGAAATTCACAAAAGTAATGCCAATAATGCCCTGCCTCCTCTTTCCAACACTGTTTAACCTGCACCCAGGTGGTTTTGTGCTTTCCTCAGATTCTCCAACATTTCAATAAATGCATCAGAGAGGACACTGATAACCACTTATATTTTTTGGGGGGGAGGAGAGGAGACAAGGCAAAGACATATCATTTTATTGGTTTGGGGAACTCCTGGTGAAGAAATTCCCTCCAACAATGCTAATTGGCAAATGCTTAGAAACCTATAGTCTTAGAAAACTTCCTGAGGACAGTAAGAGGTTAAGTGTCATGCTTACTGTCACACAGCTAGTATATGTCAGAAAGACTTGAATCCAAGTTTTCCAAGTATGAGGATAGCTCTCACCCTATGACATTGTAATGCATGGTGACAATTAGCCCATTGTTACAGTCCTGTTAAAGAAGTATCTTATGAGCTAATTCCTATTAAAATGGTATTCACTGCTCGTGATCTAATGTTAACTGTCCTAGTACATTTGCATTTTTAACAGGTTTACAGCATTTTAATTTAAAAGAATGAATCTCTGGTTTAATGGAAAGTAACTTCTAGCTGGAGTCACATGTGCTGGCTTGGAATCTGGGCTTTACAACTTATAAACTGTGTCTTTGGAGAAATCATTTTATTTTCCTTGGCTTTTGTTTGTTTCTTAAAATAAAATACAATAAGTAACAGTTATATAATTAGAATTTGCAAAACAAAAAAAAAACAGACTTCAAATTTATTGTCTGCTTTGATTCTCACAACAACCCTGTGAATTAGGTTCTATTATTATCATCCTCCTTTTTAAAGGTTAGGAAACCCAGTCTGAGAAAGTTTAAATTTCTTGTCAGGTTCATATAGTTAGCAAGTATCTGAGGCAGGATTTGAAATCTAGTATTCTTGACTCTGAATCCAGTTATCTATCCACTACAGTCTGGGCATCTAGGTGACTCAGTGGACAGAGTGCCACACCTGGAGTTAGGAAGATCTGAGTTCATATTCAGCCTTAGGCACTTACTAGCTGTGTGACCCTACTTGCGTCACTCAACTCTGATTGTCTCATCTGTAAAATGCCTGACTTTTCATCTGTAAATGAGCTGGAGAAGATAATGAGAAACCACTCTGGTATGTTTGTCAAGACAACCTCAAATGGGGTCCTGAAAAGTTGGATGAATGAAATGACTAATGAAAGTGACTGTACAACAGTAGTCAGCTGCCTATCACAGTTAATAGCACTAACTCATGTTTACATGTCTGCTTAAACAACTTCCTTGCAACACCCCTATGTTAGTGTTATTCATCACTTATTTCAGTTGATAAGACCTTAGCAAAAAAAAAAAAAGATTATGACTTTCTGATGTTATATAGCAAGTGTCATTCTTAGGATTAAACCTAGGTTACCTGAATCTTAATCTCTATCTAACTCAGTTTCCTCAGTTATAAATTGGGAAATATAATAACATGTAGCTCCCAGAGTTGTTGTGAAGATCAAATTGTATATTTATAAAGCTCTCAACATACATGGTGTGCTATGTGCCTAGAACATAGTAGATGCTTGGTCAGTCCTGGTTTCCTTTCTTCTTATCCCTAAATATAGTCTTCTCTTGATGGGGAAGTGACCTTAAATCAATTTAACAAAGTTTTATAAAGCATCTACAATATAAAATTCTTTTGGGAAGAGGAGTACAAAGATAAAAATTAAGTAGTCCCTAAAATTAAGAAACTCATATAATTATTACTTTTTTATTTTTGGACTTAATTAGAAGAAGAACAGGATCATAAATGCAATCAGAAGTATCTCAGGAAGCCATTCTTGTCATAGACTCAGTCCTTCCTGGAAATATGAAGCCCTGAATCCAAGGAAAAATATCATGAAGTTTCATAAGACAACCAGTACTTGGGGAAGGGGATTCAGCTACACAAACCCATTATCAACTGCTTTCACTCCAGTTATTATATAGGATATAAATGGAGAGATTTAACTTCATTAAAGGAATTTCTTTAGGAAAACCAAACAATGTTTTCTTGGGTCTTATTTTTAGTCTAAAAAAATCTAGACCACCTAAAGTCAAAACTGTTAGCCAGACTGTTTAAATATACCAACTTCTAGTAAAATTTCTCCCTCCTTAGAACCTGCTATTTCTACACATTGCCACAACAAAGGTCCCAAACAGATCAACTAGGGTAGTTACATAGCTTTCCTCCACCACAGTGCTAAACCAATTGCATTCCCTGTCCATAGTTCTGACAGCATCTTTGATAACCGCTAACACGTACTGGGGCTATTGATTTATTTTCCAAAAGAGGGAGGAGGTCCTTCCTGAATGACGCCCCCAAAGCATAGCACTTGTAACCTATTCTGCACCTTCTTTATGTACAGCCCTAGACAATGCTTGTGGGTGGTCAGAATGACTCTTCTGAGGCCTTGCAAGATTTTTCAGTCACCACAGAAATAGTTCATTGCGATCAATAGATTGAATTTACTGAGGAAGGAAAGCAGACTAAGTTATTTTATAAACATTTTCACTGAATCTACTGAAATAGAAAAAAAATACATAGAATTCTGTACTCCCTACTGAGTTCTGGTTAATTGAGGTGATATTTTACCATATTAAGGGGAAAATTACTACAATTAAAGATGGTCATTTGGGACTGATGGGCACATTTCCTGAGCAGTAAATTAAACCCAATGTGGTGAGCAATGGGAAGCTGAAATACTCTGAGGAGTGTTTTATTTGGGATTTTAAAATTGATTTGAAGGAAAATAATGAACTGCCAAATGCAACTATTATTTCTAATCTTAGAACTGCATGCACAGTGTGCCCTGTGTCTGAGCTATTGTCACTGCTGTAAATCTGGAACTAAACCATCCTGGAAACAAAAGATTCTGGCTTTGTGCTTGCTTGAGTACTGAGAGGTCCACGTGATCTACGGACCACTTCGAGTCAACTTAGGGCCTACCAGCTGTTCCTTTATTTCTAGCAACAGTGGCCTACCTGTTCATACTATTTCAGGCACTCTCTTTTTTGTTTTAATTAAAACTGGTTGATCACAGTAGACAATTTTTAAAATTAGTTTTGTTAATTAGTAAAATTAGTAAAGCTAAAATATAGGACTTTGAAATATTGCTATGGAAGTCTAATATAAAAAAAATTCTTATAGCAAGTCTTTTTAGTACATTGTATACATTTAGGACATTGTGATCACACTCACCAAGGGCAACATGGTGAAGCAGGAAGAGCCCTGAGCTTTGAGTCAAAAGACCTGGGTCCAAATCCTGACTCACTTATTACTTCTGTGATCTTGGCCTAGTTATTTTCTCTTGGACTCAGTTTGCTCATGTGTATAATAATGAAACTAGAGTAATGTCTTCTGTGGAACCCTTCCACCCCTATATCTATGATCAAAGAACAAAAACATTCTACAAATGAAATCCACTTGGCTGAGAATTTCAGTAAATAGCATAGCCAACAACCAGACAATAACAGCTATTATAATAATGGCTGAATTCTCTTGTTGAAGTCATATAACATGATGGAACCTTTAGATGTCAGCAAGGCTCAGTCCCTTCTTTTTAACTAGTACTGTGCCTAAATAATACCAGATAGATTGAGAATAGGTCCTCTTTTTAAAGCCTGGGAGCCAGAAAGTTTTCCACATGCTTACTTTTGTCCCACAAGCCCTCAACCTCCAATTCATTGTTTTAGAATCTTAATGGATAAAAAATACTCATAAGATGTCTTCAAAATATTGTAGACAGACTTGTAGGGAGAATAGATTTAGAAATCTGCAGGTGGTACTTTCATAAGCTAACCCTGTCTATTCAGAGATCTGGGAAATAACAGCATACAAAAAATTGCAGATTTTATTTTTGTCATGGATATGCTCTAGGAGGCAGAAGTGAGTGGGTTTTGCTTACTGGGACCTCAGGAACAATGGTATCTGTACTAGGGATAGAGGCATAGGACTTGCTCATGATACAATATTGACTTCTAAATCTCCACCTCAGACCATTCATGTTGGCCTATTTCTTTTTAGATCCCCTTTTGGGGGAAACAAAAGATGCTAATCTGTTCATTCCTTGTCTATCTCAAGACACATTTTAGAAGCCTTCTAAGGCATTAAAAAAAAGATATTCAAATCCATTTCCTTACACCTTTCTTTGATTGGGCCACTTATTTTTAGAATTCATTCTCACAAATGGTTTGTTTAATAATTAATATCTTAAATTTTATTTTCCCTTATAAGCACATAAAATACTTTGTGAATGTCAGTTAAAAATAATATTAAAAAAAAAACAACCAAGCCCTACTTTGCATTGTGTTAGTGTATAGGGCTTATGTCCTTCTTACAGAGATGTTCTGGTGGGGTTGGTGAAAGTTGGGGCACAGTTCATGGTCAGGCTAGCGGACTATGATCAGAAATGAGGAGATCAAGTTATTATGCGATATAAAGGAGGAAATAGTAAGGTCAGGAACAAAGGAATTCAGAGTCACGAAGGTGTAGTTAGAGCTATAACCAGGTCACAGCCACTGGGACATTGTCCAGGATATGAACCT